GGGAATGTAAACTAGTCCAACCATTGTGGAAAGCAGTATGGAAGTTCCTCAAGAAACTAAAAATTGAAGTACCATTTGACCTGGGAATTCCACTCCTAGGAATTTACCCAAAGAAAACAAGTTTTCAGATTCAAAAAAACATTTGCACCTCTATTTACAATAGGCATGATATGGAAGCAACCTAAGTGTCCATCAGTAGATGAATGGATAAAGAAGAGGTGGTACATATACACAATGGAATATTATTCAGTCATAAGAAAGCAACAAATCTTACCATTCACAACAACATGGATGGAGCTAGAGGGTATTACGCTCAGTGAAATAAGCCAGGCAGAGAAAGACAAATGCCAAATGATTTCCCTTATTTGTGGAGTATAACAACAAAGCAAAACTGGAGGAACAAAACAGCAGCAGACTCAGAGACTCCAAGAAGAGAGTAGTGGTTACCAAAGAGGAGAGGTGAGGGAGCGTGGGTAGAGGGAGGGAGAAGGGGATTGAGGAGTATTATGATCAGTTCACATGGTGTGGGGAGGAGGTCAAGGGGAAGACAGTGTAGCTCAGAGAAGACAAGTAGGGACTCTGTGGCATCTTACTACACTGATGGACAGTGACTGCAATGGAGTATGGTGGGGAATCGATAATAAGGGTGAATGTAGGAACTACATTGTTTTTCTTGTGAAACCTTCATAAGAGTGTATATCAATGATAGCTTAATAAATAATTTTTAAAAAGTGAAAAAAACCTTGCTTCTGTGGAAATCCATTTTATAATTAACATTTTTGTGCATCTGTAAAAGCAATAACTTTCAAAGAAAATGTTTAATTCTTCTATTTTGTTTTCAGATAACTTATGATGTCTCTCTTCTGTGCTGTCCATAATTTTGTATTTTGTATATGAAATTCTAATGTGTAATGTGCTTTTTTTTGGCTGCTCTATTTGCCATGTGCCAAGCAGACTGAACTCAATCTCTGTCCCTGTAGTCCATGCTTTTCCTCTTCCCACCCTCTTGACGGTTGCCTCAAAGCTCTTATGACTCCAGGATTCACAGGAGGAGCAAGGATTGTCATCAGGGGTGCCCTTGAGCTCCCAAAATTATGTGCAGAACTGGGTATATGCTTTTCCAGTGAGAGGATGTAGATCTTGTACTGAGTTCTCACATGACCCATGTGGCTAAGAATGTAGGAATCCTTGACCAGCCCTTTTCAGCATCCTTTCTCTCCCTCCACTAGGCCTTCTCCTCTGTTTTGGTCAGATTCCAAAGCAAGCTCCTTCTCCCCAGGTGGCCACCCTCCTTTCCCCTCATGCCTTCTCTTCACTGTCAACCTTCCTGAGCCAATAGCTATACCTGCTGTCCTCACTTCCTTACCTTCTGTTTACACCTGACTCCCCGTCGCCCTGTCTCATTTTGCTGAAATTGCTCTTTCAAGGATGACATGTGCCTCTTTATTGCATAATGCAGTTTTTATTCTTTACCTTCTTACTTCTCTTTAGTATGTGTGGTCATTGTCCTGATCTCGTAACCTGTCCCTCCTGATCACCTGAGTGGTGGCCTCCTCTCAGACTTCTCCACACCTCTTCTGTAACTGTTGTCCATCTCTCCCTTGTCATCCAGCAGAGTCCTTCCACCATTTTCTGTCACAGGGCCCTTTTCCTCCATGTTCTCTTGGGCCACTTCATGCAGACCCATAGATGTGCACCTCTCTACTCTCCTCTCCTCTGTGCTGAGGCCTAGGTCCCTATTTACAAGGGCTGTCCCCACTGGGACAGCTGACAGCACAGCTACCATGTCCATGAACAAATTCTCCCTCTTGTCCGGCAGCCCCTCATTTCCATATCTCTGCGAGCAGGGCCACCACGCGCAGCCAGGTGTGACAGACCTGAACCCTGGGCCCGGCATGCTCCCTTGCTCCCCACCTCCTCGCTGTTCTCCAGGCCCAGGCTGGCCGGCTCTCTCCCGAGGGCCTCCTGCCCTCCCGCCACCAGGCCTCTCATCAAACACTCCCAGATCCACGCCCTAGGGTGTGTGCCTGCCTGACTGTGCCAGTGTCCTGCTCCAGATTCGTCTAAACCCTCCCTGATCCACCAAATTTCCTCAAAATTCAAAGCCCTTCAGGTTCTTAATCTAGACCATTCCCTAACACCCCTTAAATAGCCCCTATTTATTCATAATGATCAAACTAATGTCTTAGTTTTCATCATTGGATTATATGGATACATAAACATTTAGGTTTACAGGGGTGCTTTTTAGTGGTATCATATTTACTCATCTGATTTTTTCTTTTCCCTAGTTATTACCTCCCCTTGAAGATTTAGGGTTCAATGTGTTATAATTCAGTAGAAGTATTTGGAGCACCAAAAATATACCAGCCTGGTACCTCATGGGGAAGGTGCTCACTCTTGACATTCTGAGGGTTGAGTCAGAGGCCCTGGGCATCAGCAGAAGGTGCAAAAGCTCTTTCTGAGTCTGTAGGGTGTATGGTCAGAGTCCTGGCAGGAAACACATGGCCTATGGAAAAGGGGTGGAGGAGAGTGTAATAAAGGGACGACGGGCTGGAGAGGCAGAAGGAGCAGCTACTAGACCTTGGTGAGAGTGCTGTCACAGACCATGGCTCCAGAGGAGGACCTGAAGGGAAAATGAGCGCCCAGCTTCTCTGTCTTCCCATCTATGATCTCTGCCTGGTGCTTCCCCTACGTCAAGCCCAAACGAGATTACGATCAGCCGTCCGGGAGTGCACCCACATCGGCTGACCTCCTGGTCAGAGAGGGAAGCCGTGGGGAGGTGAGAGCAGGCAATGCCAGTGCCTATCCCACCCCGGTCTTCTGAAGCTCTGTCTCTAGGAAGACAGAGTCCGTTGTGGCTAATGCTCCAGGGCTTCACTCCAGGGACACCCGGTCTCCCTCTCTGCTCTGCCTCTCCACCAGGGAGTCCTCTTCTCCTAGTTTCTCACCCCTCTAGTATCTTCTTTTATGTTGCCAGATAGTTTCAGTAAAATTACTGGGCAGATAATAAACACTTACAGACCAAGTTAAATAAGATGTGTTAATTTTTATTCATAGTTTGCATTACAGTTTATAATTTGCATTAGATTGAGCTGCTTGAGCAGTAAGAAATTAATAATGAGAAAGATGACTTAATTTTGGAGGATAATGATATTGGAGTAACTGGTATGTTTTCTTTAATAGAAAGTTCAAAATAGGCTACCTAGTAGCCTTCTGAGCCCCAGACTGAAGCCCTGCAGGAAGATGGGCTCCATGCAGGCCCTCCTAATGGCCTGTTCCCTTCTCAGCATCTACTTCATTCCACAGCTCCTTTCACTCCCTGCTTCAGACTGCTGCCCCCTGCCACGCCCCCACAGTCTGTGACTCTGGAGGGGCCCAGAAGCTGGGCTGGGGAAGGTGGTGCAGAGAGCCCGAGGGTGGCACCGCCCAGGAGGGAGGGGGGATGACAAGGCTGCGAGGGCAGGGCTGCCGCGTGGGACAGGCTGCGCGGCTTTCCTTGAGTCTGAGCGCAGAGCTGGGAGCCCCAGGGATGAAACGTCCTGTTTTTATGGGGGCTGATTTTTTGCAGCACAACTCCAAGCACCAAGCAAGCCCCTCAAGGTTGAATAAAGAGTTGCTCAAGGGCTTGGGATCTACAGAGTATAAAACAGACCCAAATCAATAGGCCTTTATAAACAGGCCTTTATAAACAGCCCTTTCCTAAGGTCCTGGGACTCTATGACCAGTCTGACTCTTCCGTGGCACTGCTGGCTCTCCTGCTACCACCTGGGCACACCCGGAGTGGCAGTGGGCCCCAGGATGGCCAGAGGTAGGCGCCAGGCTCACATGAACATGCTTTGTGACCTCTGGGGTTTGTGTGGAGGAGGGCTGGGTTGGTGTGTCTTTAGAGAAACTTAGACTTTTAAAAAATGACCAAATTCCATAATTAGTTTGTGTAATCATTTGCGGATACATGAACAATGCCCAGAGCTTAGGCAGGATGCAGGCAAACCTCTCTGAGGTTGGAGCAGAGGCCAAGCCTCCATTTAAGGACAGGTTGGCCCATGAAATGGCCCCTTATCTCATCGTCCTTTTAGTCCTTTGAGTGCCACTGTTCCTGCTCTCAGGAATATATGGGTCCTTTCTATTCTCTTGGGCTCAAACCTAGGCAAAAAATTAAACATTTTCCTTGATTTTCTCACATGACTGAGTCAGTCTGGGGCACTCACTTCCGTGAGATGAGAAGTGCGTGCTGTACCAATTATATTCCTCCTGTCGGCTGTGCTGCTTCCACACAGGCCCTAGCGGATCTAGCTCTCAGCCTCCGGGATCCTCTTTCTGGAGGTCGCATTTGCCCAAACCTAGGAGCACTTTGAATATTAAGCTACCAACAGCCAATTGTCCAAGGACAGGCGGACCCACCACCTTGGCCCAAGCAGGCATGTCAGCAGGACCCGGCCTACCTATCCACACACAAATTAAATCTCGGGCTCACACGTCACACCTGGGCGATGGTCCTTGTCCCACCCACTGAGTCTAGACACTCACCCTATTTTTCAGCCTTGAAAGATTGGATCTCTAGCCTTTTGGAATTCACCTTTTCATTGCCTGATGAACCAGCTGGGTGGCTCACTCCTGGCTCTGACCACTGGGAATGGTGCCAGCTCTGAGTCCTGGCCACATCTGCCACGCCTGTGGGGCTCGCCAGCATGGCTCACCTCCTTCTCACCTTCTTCACCAGGTGACAGGGTGGCGGGCCGCCACCACCTCATGCCTCATGTGGCTACTGAAAGAATGGGGAGCATTAGGAGGGCCCCCAAACCACCACAGGATGGGCAGTTTGAATTCCATGGTACGATGCTGACAACCATACTCACTGGAGAAAACAGTAGTATGCACTCATTTTAAAAACATGGCACCATACAATACTTTCAGCAGTGAGACTTGAACAAAATTGACCCAGGGTTTCCAAAGACTTGCATCCTGCTCCCTGAATAAGAACAGACATGGAAACAACTCACCGTAAACTGGATCTGGCAGCCACCCATGATGTAGTCCAGGAAAGAGTGCATCTTGTGGACCTGTTGAGGGAGATGGGCTGTTTTATTCACTGCACGAGTGTTTCCTGAGGCCCGGCCTTGGGCTTTAAGGCTAGGCTGCTACACGAGAGGAGAGAGCAGAGAGGTCTGTGGGGAAGAGAGGGCTAGTGGGTTTGTGTCTGTTCAAGAAGGAAGAAAGCAATGCTCAATTCAGATGGGACCGAGAGGGCCGCGACTGGGTGTGCCTTACCCCTTTTGTTTCTGGTTTATGGGTGGTTTTAATCAGTGTCTGCCTCTGGGGTGGGACCAACACTGTATTTTCAATGGTCAGCACTGTTTTGAAATGAATAAAGTCTCACACTTAGCTGCAGGTTGCTCCCTAAGCCCCTGGAAGGGGCAGTCTGTCTCTGGTCCACAGGCCGCAAGATGTCAAAGCATCATAAAATACAAAAAATGCACAGTAAATAATACCATGACCCCAGACAGCCAATCATAATATATTATCCCCCACTCCAGTGACCAGTCCCAGGGGTAGCACATGACCCACGTCAGACCAGCAAGTCATTCCTTTTCTCTCTTGTGTAAGGAGGTGCTCTTGTGGCTCCTGGCAGCCACGCACAGGCCAGTCTGGAAGAAGGAACCTGGCATACGTGGAGAGAAACTGGACGGGCTGTAAGTCGTATATGGTGGAGTTGGACAGATGTGGGTTAAAATCTCAGCTCCTAAACTTACCACTTGTATGACTGTGGGCTCGTTACGTGATCTCATGTGGAAGTAGAAATCTCAGGGTTGTGATGAGTTAAACAGACTTTATGATGTTTCTCTTACATAGTCTACCCTCAGTTGCTGGCAAGAATCATCTCAGATGTAATTTAAGAGGTTTAATTATTAGCCTGTGGGATTTTCTGGGAAGTGAGGGAGGAATTTCTAGGCTCCTTAACCTTCACCCACTGTATTGTACCCACTAGGGTGGGTGAGATGCTGCAGATAAAGCCCTGGGCACTGTGACGGGCATATCACGTGGAGGCACTCTGAAAATGCTGGCGTCCCCTGTGGGGCCCACCCTCTGGGCTGTCCTGGGCAGAGCAGGGCCTGACTTGCTATGAAGCAGCTCCTGCCTTGGGGGCAGGACTGTCCTGCCGGGGGGATGGTGGCATCCAGTCACCACAATTCCAGCATCACCATTTCTCATTGTATGCCCATTAATACATTGCATTGTTTATTTTATGTTTAAAAAGGCCACACCTCTTTCATAGCCTTTTCCTCTGACTGCACAGCCTGAGCTGTTCCTTCCAGGAGGCTCTAGGTTCAGAGCCCTGGACGGGCGGGTCTCTGCACTTACCTTGCACAGATTCAAAATCACAATGCCCGAGTTCTTGTAGTTCTTCTTCTTGACTTTGTACTTGGGGTTGATGCACTCCCACTGCACCTGCAACATGAAAGCCTGCTCAGGACGCGAGCCACTCAGAGGCTGCCCCTGTGCCACAGCAGAGGGACCCAATGGCTGGTGAGCGGGGCAGGGTGACACCCTTGCACTTTAGGGGCCCTGAGGAGGCAGGCTGAGAGAGACTCTCACATCAGACTGCCTGGTTTGAATCCCAGTTCCCCACGTTCCATCTGTGTGACCTTTGGCAAATTACTTGGTGCCCTTATGCCTTGGATATCTCCTCTGTAAGATGGAGTTTATAACTGTATCCATCTCATAGGATTTTTGTCAGGACTTAATAATTAATCCATGTAATACATTTAGAATAGTGCCTGGCACCTACAAATACTATGAATAGGATTAAATCAAGCAGCAGACAGGAGGGTGTATCTGCAGACACACAGCTGAGTAACACAAATGTTGGGTCTCAGTGCCTGGGAACTGGCTTTAAAGGTAGGGAAGCTGAGGAACATTGGGTGCTAGCTACAGGAAGTTAGGGAATAATGAGCTTATGCAGAACTTCACTGAGAGTTGAATTATGGATTGAACATTCTGCAACAGGGGCACAGTGGATCACCAAAGGGGCTTCAAAAATGGGGCTTCAAAAGAGGGATAGTGTGAGCTGCAGGAGTGCAGAGAGCTGAGGAAGGGCTGGGAGCCGAGGAGCTTCCTAGAGGACAGACACCAACGGAAGGAAGACTTCACGTGGTGACTGTGTCAACCACAGATCAGCATTGGGTGTCACTGAATGTCCCTGCCTACCGCCTCTGGGAGCTGGGTCCTCGGCTCTCTGCTCAGATGGCAAAGTCTCACTCTCTGACAATTAGAAGTGTCTGAAAATGAAGCAGTTCTGAGGCAGCCATGCGGGGCTGCGTGACACAGCACCGGCCCACAGGTGCTCACTCCTCTGAGTCCACGCACCTGTGTGCTCCCTCCCCAATGACTCTGAGTTTTGTCATCTGACTTATTTTGGCAAATGGGAAATTAGCAAAAGTGGCATGAATTGAGGCTTGAAAAGTGCCCATGCTTTGAGGCATGTCTTCTTGTTGCTGGGAAGTTTTTATGACCATGAAAAAGGTTCAGGATGGCCCCCTGGAGAATACAGAAGTGCCTAGAGAAATGCCATGGCCACCCCAGCTGCTGAGGCACAAGTGAATTCAGTTGGCGTTGTGCATAGCAGAGAGCAGTGGCCCCGGGAGAGCTCAGCCTACATTGCCAACCCATAGAACTGTGAGCCCATAATGATTGTTTTTTCAGCCAGGAAGTTTTGGGGTAATTTGTTACTCAACAACAGATAACTGATTCAGCAGCTTTTCATCACTGGGTAAGTTCCAGCAGGGACTCCACAACTACATAAGGGTTCAGAAGAAAGGACTCCTGTATTGGCTAAGGGTCCTCTAAAATTCCTTCTATAAAAAGAGGGAGAGATAAAGAGAAGAAAAGGTGGTATCGATGGATGGAGGGAAACAAGAAAAGGAAGAAAGAAAGAAGAAAAGAGTCGAAAGTGAATCAGGAGCTTGTTAACCCTCTTTTGTGAAAGCTGATCTCTTCACCATTGTGTAGTTGGTAGGCACTGTCTTGGAAAGCACAACTTGAGTGCACTGTCATCACACAGAGAAGAAAATCCATCTCCTTTCTCCAAGTGCTCCGAATCAACCCTTCCTGGCCTCTACCTCTGACTTTGACCAAGTCTTCCGCATTGCTCCCTCCCCCTCTCTGCTCCAGATACCCTGGCCTCTTTCCTGCTCCTTATTCACACTAAGCTCTTTCCCAACTCACTTTGTAAGGATATTCACTCTGCCTGATATGCTGTCCTGTGGCGTGTTACAGGCTGGCTTCTGTCCAACTTCAGTGTCACCTTTTTAGACTATCACTCCTATGCCACACCTTTATAACCAAGCTGGTTCACAAGCTGTAGTTACATTTTAATCTTTTGTTTACTTTGATGTGCAGTCATGGCACACCCAGACCCTGGCACTTAGTAGGTGCTTCTTCATTAATATTAGTAGAATCAGTAAATAAGATAACATTTCACACAGCGCCAATGTGCCAGTATAGGGGCTGAATGGTTGAACTGAAGTCTTTCTGGAGTCTCAGTGATGTCGAGAAGCACAGTAGTGCATGGTCTGTGTCCTCAGTGGGGCCTAAAAACCCCTTTGTTTGTTCCATTTTGTATCTTTACCTGTGACATGCACTATAATCTTACTTTTAGGGTCATCTTAGGAGGCTAAAGAGGAAATGTTTCCCAATTTATTGATTTGTCTATTTGTATTTCTAGAAGAGAACAAGGAAAAACTTTGTAAAACTTTTTAGAATTCTAGTGGATGGTATCAATAACTGTCATTGATTTATTAGCTCAGTAGGGTCTGGGCCTGTCCGTCCAATGGAGCAACAACTTCTCTGGCTATATCCCTTGTTTTCTGTGAGTGATTTGCTTATGATTTAGTGGTTCTTTGTGGCCCTGAAACTCTGCCTGCTCAGCGGTGCAGTGTGTGTGGTTGACAAGTTTCTTGCAGTACTGGGTGTGTAACAGAGCACATATAGCAGCTTGCAGAAGTTGTGCAGAAAGCTGCCCTTGAGCTTCCAGACCAACAATAGTCTGATTCAGATTAAGCTTCTCATTCTAAGGATTGTTAGTTTATTTCCATCCAGTCTGGCTATATCTTGGCCTTATGTTTGAAAGAAGATACTTGAAAAATGAGTTGGGACATCTTTGCTGAACAGCACGTCTAGCCAGGCCAGCACAGAGTCTTATTTCTATGGGAAGTTTCTACTTTCTCAAAGCCACCGAATTTTTGCTGTCAGTCTTTTCTGTTCCGTGGGGCCAATGGGCCCCAGTCAGAATGTCAGGTATTTTGGTTACAGTCCCTCCAGAAGCACACCCTGAAGCAAAGATTTAAGTGTACATAGTTCATCTGGGAGGCAATACCAGGAACCATGACAGATGAGTGGAGAACTGAGATGGGAAGGCCACCGAGAGGCACACAAACCAGGCACCGCCACAACCAGGGCTCATTCCTGCTGAGAGCGCTGACTCAGAGCTTTGCCACCTGTAGGGCACAGGAGCTGAGGTACTTATACCCCAGTTCCCGTCTGTTATTGGCTGAAGGCTCCTCCCGGGATGGTGCTGCATCTCCCTCACACCCCCAGCCTGCTGGAGGCATGGGTAGGAGGGCTCCAGCAGCCAGGGATGCCCTGGAGTGGAGAGGCAGCTCCTGCCACTGGACGCTGGGCAGGAGAACACTGAACAGGTAAGAGCAGAAGTTGCATAGTTAGGCCTAAACAACCATGACCGACTAATAAATTGGTATATTTAGAAAGGATGTGTCTAAGAGAAACACAGGGGGCTTAGGTTTTTTTCTGTGTGTTGCAATGAAATCCCTGTATACCTCCATGGGTGTGTAGTGTTGGTATCTTGGCACCACATGTGTAAGAGTGAAATGGTGGAACTAGGTGAAAATCTGGCGCCCATAATGAAAATTTGGAGGAACCAAATTATTTCCCCAAAACATTAAATGTGTAACCAGTATCACCATGTCATGGAAATGCAGAGCTGGGAAGAATACTCCAGCCACAAGCCCATCGTTTGGAAGGGCTGGCAGTACACAGTTACTCTGCCAAGCGCACGTCATAGGGGAGCTAATTTAATTTCACAAATTCTAACAGGTAGGTGCAATTATCACCTTCATTAATTAGGTGAAGAAACTGGGGCATGGAGAGACCAAGTCACTTGTCCAAGGCCACACAGCTAAAGGAAATCAGAAATGCTGTCACCTAACCCTCTCATTAGTGATGGATAACCTGACCTCTGTTGGGCAGTGTCTTGTCCAAGGTCACAGAAGTGCTTTGTCCCTGGTACTGGAATCTAGGTGCTTGTATCCCACCATGCCCCTTTCCTGTCACATCGGGTCGCTTGTTGACATCTCGCCTCCAGCCGCTCCATGAGAGGAGTCCAGAGAAACGGCACAAGTGGGTCACCACACACCTGCTTCCCTTCCATCGCCCCTCTCATCTCCTTGAACGTCGAGGCGAACTCGCCAATGAAGTCATGCTTTCCGTTGGAGTCCCAGTCCCATACTATGCACTGCAAGAGAGAAGAATATCCTTAAAAAGGAATTCAGAGTGCAACCACAGCAGCAGACGCTGGTGTGAACTTTATGAGGAGGAGTGGACGCAGATGCTCAGTCTGGGGCAGAAGCCAGCTGTCCAGGACACAGCTCATGCAAGGGCTGCAATATGCCTCTGCTTTCCTTGTCCCTGCTTAGCCTTTTTACCGTGTGTCCAAGAAGCCCTGTGATTCAGCAGGGACTAATACCTTGTCCGTTTTTCAGACAAGGGTAAGTAAGACTGAAAAGGTATAGGTGACTCACAAAGTGACCACCTAGTGAATGGAAACCCGGGGTTTGAAAGCAGATGTCCTGACTCCAATTCCGGAGCTCTTTGCCCCATGACAGGGCAGCTCCCTGGTTATAGCTGGAAGTAGAAGCAGAGCCCATGCCTGCAGGCCCCGCAGTAGCAGCTGAGGTTTAATGATATGCATGGGATCACATTAATCACATTTTCTTTTTCTACTTTTTTTCTGAAGGCAAAAGAATGATGCTAACAATGAGTAAGAAAGCAAGAAAGTGAAATCTTCACCTGTACCCACATAAAGAGTGAGTGGAAGACAATGACAGGTATGTCTCACTGGCAAATATCAGGCGTTCATCATAACATAAGATGTTTACCTCTAACAAAAAGGCTCCCTCTAGCAATATTAAGGCTTAATTCTGGGCTCCTGAGCAACACTTTGTAGAATAATTCAGATTAAGTCAGTGGCCATCCCTCAGCCTGGAAACACATCCGTGGATGAGGGAGTTTCCCATCCTCCTAGGGTAGAGGCTGGATGAGTCTGTGTCTATGCTGTAGCCTGGGATCTGTAGCAAGGAAGTCCCAGCCCCAGATAAGATCAAGACGGCAAAGCAGACCTCCCATTCAGAGGTGTTCCCTGGAATTTCAGGGCTCTAAGAGAAAGTCTGGTCCTTCCTCAGGATGCAGATTCTGCCTGTAAAACCCAGCTTGTAAATCAATCCTCTGATCCCGTGGATGCCCCACAAACCTAAAATGAAATATGTCCAAAATGAAACATAATTTCCCTTCTAAATTTATTTCTGTGCATTTATTCTCTGACACAGTGAACTGGACCAATATTGCTAAAAAGAGAGCACGGGCATCATCCCCAGTGCCCGCTCCAAGTGCAGCGCCACACCAGCCCCACCCACCTGCCTCCCAAACATGGCCTGACTCAGGCCTGGGCGCCTGCCGCTCTCCTCCCCTCTGTGCTCCCACTCCCCACAATCTACTAGACATAATTATTTCCTGCTTAAAATAAAAATATATGTAAGCAAACAGGTCACTCCAAGGTCCTCAATATCCTCAAATTCACCCTTCATGATCCATGTTTACAGTATTTTAAGGTTTCTTTAATATGAGGTTGGTTGGAATGAAAAGATTTGGTAAGATTTTTTTTAAATTTGCATCTTAAGGAACAACTAACTTCTCAGCTTTTGCTTTCTCTTTAAATGTGGAAGCTTTGGTAGGTAATTCTTTTGCTTATGTTAATAAGCCCTTTGGTTATAAAGGAGAATGTATTAGAATGACTCAACACGGAGGAAGTTAAGACAAACGGAGTTGAATTGCTCTGCTGGAGAAAGTAATGGTTAGGTTGAGCTTTTCCTTCGCGACCAGAGACACAAACCCAGGGCCTAGGGATGTGGGTTCAGAAGAAATTAGGGCAGGATTCACTAGAGGGCGTTGACAGGCGCAGCATGGGGGCAGGAGGAAGCAGCGGGCAGGTAAGAACCTGGGGGACTGTGAGGTCTAATTTCCAAGGTCGTGTTCTTTAGCTATCTCCCCCCTCACATCCCCTCTAACGCCTTCTCTCCCTTTGTCCCTGAGACCCCAGTGAATCTGCGCCCACGACAGCATTAGCAGTGACTTCGAGGATGACTGGAAGGGCCCGTGGCCATGTTCTGGGGAAAGCAGGCCAGAGAGGAGTCTGCGATGGCCCAGGTGGCTGAGAGCCGGGGGTGGGGGGCAGGCCTGCGGAGGGCGGGCCTCGCGGACGAGTCCTGGGCGTGCGCCCCACAGAAAGGGCGGTCCTCTGCTACAGTTACGTGGGATTAGAATTCAAGATATCTTATTTAGATTTTAAGGGAAAGTCTGGCTCCAGATAGTTGGAGAATTACAAATAAGATTCAGTTAAAATCATTACTCAACTTACGTTATCTTTTTGGTCATGGAAGATGATAAAAGCAAACTGCTAACAGTACCTGTACCGTCAAGTCAACCCGAGTCCCCGAGGCAGGGCGGTGCAGAGTTCCGTCCCAGGTGGCCCAGGGTGGGCGTGTGCATATACAAGAAGTAAACCACTGTTGTTTCAGCCACTGAGGCGAGCACTGCACAGCTCAGTCAGAGAATCACTAAGGGCTTCAAGTGCTACCACAGGGAAAGCTTTGTCTGACTCCAAAAGGGGGAAAACACAATTCTGTAAGGAAGTTACAAAGAAGTAACAAAGAAAATATTTCTCAGTAATTACTACCTGTCCAAAACCAAAGCAATCTGTTTGTGAAAGAGTGAGTGCTTTATTGCTGGAAATGTTCAAGTAGAAACTGCAGGATGCCACGTGAAAAATGCAATAGTTTGGCAGAGAATTTATAGAGGATTGGGTGGGATGTTCTTTGCATTTTCTTCTCTCTTGTAACCCCTGAGATTACTGGCAGTTGCGTAAATTGCAAAACATCAATGAGAGGCTCAGCTTATTCTGGTTGAAATGTTAAGCAATGCAATGGTAGCTTTGACTGGAGTGGTGAGAACTCCTTTTTAATTCAAGGTAGGATGCAGTTCTACCTCATTTGTTCCAACAGATAGTGGAACCAATCAATGATTCAGTCTCTTGGAGAAATCACACAGGATGTGCCTTATGAATTGCACATAGTTGAGCACGGTCAATTGATCTGCAGTTACAAACAGGCGTTTTTCTCTACGTTTGCCAGTTCCTCCTGACTGGCCCTGACATCCACACATTTATTACCTGGAGCACACAACAGAAGAAAGCTTGCTGGGCCTGACCAAAGAAAGAGAAAGAACGGTGGTTCCTGGGACCCAGTCTGGTAGTAAATACAGTCAGAGACACCAGGGTTGGATACTCACCTACTCTTCCACCTTTGGGGAGGAGCAAATAAAAAGACAATGCAGGCAGGTAACAGAAGTGGGAGCAACCTTCTAAACACTCCTGGGCATTGGGAAAGAGGGCAGAAGCCCCCTTCTTTCTGCCTCCCTAGTCTCAGTAGAGAAAAAGCAACATGTACCTAGTACTTCGGTTTTTCTGAGTCTTAAGTGAAAACCACATCACTCCTTTGCTCTTAGACTTCCCATCATGCTTTAGTTTCTCCTGTCCCTCCTTCCACCTGCCAGCCACACATTCAGGATGTCCGTGATGAGCTCTCTCCAGGGGTAGAAAGGGGTGCCCGCTGAGTCTGTCTGCGCTGGAGGGTAAGTCAGACTTGACAGGACTCCAGTCACCACCTCCCAGTGGCAGGCACCCCCCTTATCTGGGCCCTGCTTCTTCAGTGGGCTGGCATTCCTGTTTTGACCATTCTCAGAAGGGGTACTAGAGGAAGGAAGACCTAGCAAAACAGAAAAATAAAAGCACTGTTTTTGCTTCTCTCTCTTCACAGAGTTGCCTTGTGACAGCTCTGATGGGGCTGACAGAGGAAAAGAGCTCTGTGAAAAGTAGAGACGAACTGCCCTGAAGAGAGCTGAGACAGAGGCAGCATTCTTGGTGTGAATCAATAAGGGGGCCTCAACAGGTCCAGGAGAGACCAGCTGCTCAGAGCCACCTGTGAGCCAGGAAACCCTCTCTAGGTCATGCACTTCACTGTGAGCTTAAGGCTACAATCCTCATGTCTGAGCTTGACAGGCAGTCCAGTCCACACCTTCCTGGTACAGTGGAGATGGCACAGAGGATGTAGGGACACCTGGGAGTTCATGCAGTGCAGGGCTCGCTTCCTGCTACCCTGATGGCACTGCAGACACACAAATAGCAAATTATAATAGTTAAAACATGTCCAGTGCTTACTAGGTACCAGAGACTTACAAGCACTTCATGTTTATGTACACTCACTCAGTCTCCAGAATAATTTATCATTAAGCTCATTTTACAGATGAAGAAACAGGAAGAGAGAGGTGAAGAAAGTTTCCCAAGGCCACACAGCTAACCCTAGGTGATCTCTGAGCTGAAAGAAGTTAAACTCCTTAGCTTGTCTTAACTGATAATCTTTATGGATCTAGGCCATTTGTGTTTATGGTCTTTAATCCTTTCAATAACTAAACCTAAAATGACAGTTACTACCTTTCACAGGTATTTGCCATTCACAAGCTTAGAGAGCTTAAGTGGCTTGACTAGACAGTGACAAACAGGAATTTGAATCTAGGTGTCTGGTGCCATAGCAATGTTTTCGGTTACGCCCTACTGCCTCTTGATGGAAGCAGGAATTCAGAATCAAGTTATCTTTAGCTCTCTCCGTGTAAAGAGCTCCCACGCTTTGATTGGAGCTACAGACTACCGTGATCCCCTGAAGCCCAGTGAGAGACACCCAGCAGCATAGCCGGCTCACTGCTTCCATGAAAGGAGATGCAAAGAGACCCCGGCAGAAGCACTGTCCCCAGGCCCTCAGCTCTGCTGTGGGAGGCATAGGTAGCTGCATCTTGAGGGTATGAGCCACTCCATGCTGTGTTGATTTTACATTTGTATTAGAAGGAAGGTGCTATGCCAACTTAATGTTCATTAACCTTTCACGAAGGTCAGTTTTATGTATCAAATAGCAGTCCCCAGCTATTTAATCAAACACCAATCTAGGCGTGGTAGTGAAAGTATTTTTTGGACATAATTAGTTCACAATCAATTTACTTTAAATTGAAGAGATTTTGTGACTGCCTATAAATTTTAGGATTATCTTTTCTATTTCTGTAAAACAATGCCATTGGTATTTTGATGGAGGTAATATTGAATCTGCAGATTACTTATAGTAATATGGATATTTT